AAAATTAAATAAAACTAGGTCAATAACTGTTGTTTTGGAGCACATTGAAAAGTTATGTCATTACTAGGTATCCCATTCCAAACATTATGGAGAAGTCCAAGAATGCCTCATTAACACCTAGGTTAGGCTGGCCATACATTATACAATTGTCTTGTACAATCTCCCTTTAGATTTATCAAAACCATATCAAATGAGATCAAGCCTAAACACTTTCAATTTGTATGCAATCAGGCAGGCACTCAGGCAGGCCCATAGTTAAATAGTAAATCTAAAGGAAATTGAATAAGAAAGTTGTATAATGTATTGACAGCTTAAGCCAAACTATGAGTAAAGTATCTGCTATCTTTTTCTGTAACTGCAGCAGCAAACTAGATTTCATCGTATAGTGCTAACATTAGTGATTAATGAATATTTAGGAATGGTTACTATATTTGCACTTACTTTATCAAAATAATTGTGCAGCACTACCAGGCAGAATGTATAACCTAGACAAATAAAAAGTAAATATAGTTACACACTTTACATAGAACTTTTAAATATTTAATACACATATGTCAGCACTTACACCAAATGGAATTCACTAAAATGATCCTATGGTCACTTTACAAGAGGGAAATGCAGCATATATAGATAGCAGGCACCTAGAGGTGCCTGCATGTAGCTTCATATATTTTACACAGTAAAACTCCTTATGATGCAATTTCCAAGCAGTTTATCTGGTTGAAAGCGCAATGATTTATTGTAACGTATGGCCTCTATGTTATGCTCTAAAAAAGTGACACTGGGCTTCCGGTTCCGGCGCCGTATGCAGTGGTGTGGCAGAGCCTCCAACACTGTCAGCAGCTGCACCAGCCCCTTCTGAGACCCATAGTTCCACAGGTCAATATGAGAGAATAGCACAAGCAGTTGCTTCCTTACTTTTGCCTACTATTACACAAGCTGTGGACAGAGTAGTATCTATGGGAATTGAACAGTTTAGAAAGGATTTAGGTGAACAAGCTAAACATATATCTAAAGCAGAACAGAGCCTTTCAGAATTAGAAGATGAAGTCCAATCTATGCAAGCGGGTGCACCTCAATTCAATCGCATGCAACAGAGTATTCTAGAAAAACTCGACTACTTGGAGAATCGTGCAGGCAGAAATAATTTGTGCGTTGTAGGCCTTCCAGAATCCTACAACTCAGGTACCCTTCCGGAACTTTGCTCAATGCATATTCCCTCAGCTCTGGGATTAACCACTCAGTGCCAGGTGGAGAGAGCTCACCGCCTAGGCCACCTTCTAATGATCGATGCACGCCACATTCCGTAATTGTCAAATACCTTAATTATGCTGACCGAGTGGCCATCCTAAATTTTTTAGCGCAATTCCCGCTCCCTGCAAATAGAGGGCCATAAATTGCTTTTTTTTGCTGATTACTCAAAGGAAGTATCACATAAGTGAAAAGCATTCCAGCAAATATGTGCCACTTTATACCAAACAGGGATTATATTTACCTTAGCGTACTCGGCTGTACTAAGGCTCACCATGCCTTCAGGAGACCCAAAGTCATTCGTTCATCCAGAGGAAGCCTTACAATATTTACAGGCTAACATTAACAATGATATACGGTGTCCCCTTTCCTAAATGCATGAAAACACTTTTACCCCAAAAAGTGTATTATTGTTATACAAAATAATGCTTACTAACCCACATAAATAATAAACAGTGCCTTAAGTGATCAAAATAAAATATATATATACACAAGTCCCAAACAAATGATTATATGAAATTGTCCTTCCAAATATAAAGTCATTCATAAAGTTCAAAAACCTTCAAGTTGAAAACCGCTTCCAAAGTGACTTCTGAGACCAGAACCTCAAAAAGAAAAAACTTACATAGTGTATTACCCTTATCAACTATAAATAAATATTCACTCCATAACGCATGTGAATCACACACAAAAAAAACACACGTGATCACTACTAAATACAGTGAACAACTGTGTAAAATGTGCCCGTGAAATAATCTTGTGACAGATGAATTCAGTAACAATACTGTAAAAAAACTGTGTCCACTTCTAGAGTGTGCAGATTAAATACCCTTACCAAATCAAATCATCACAGGCTTGTAATTAACCAGGCAGGGTGCAGACATCTCCTAAACTCCACCAAGAGGATCTTCACAGCTACACAGATATACTCCTCTCTCCACATCCGTCTCCAAACGATGCCCACCATATATATAAATCAATAAGAGTGAAAATCCGTATAAGCAGTAATAGATAATACTTTATTATATGCTTACATATATTCCATCTTAAAAAATTGCCATCACACAGGAACAATGCAGCCAGACCTAGAGCACTTCTCCTGGCTCTAGGATCAAGATTTCCAGGATCCAAAATGGCCGCTCGGTCACTTCCGGTTCCGCTGTGCGGAAGCGGTTTTCTACTTGAAGGTTTTTGAACTTTATGAATGACTTTATATTTGGAAGGACAATTTCATATAATAATTTTTTTGGGACTTGTATATATATATATTTTTTTGATCACTTAAGGCACTGTTTATTATTTATTTGGGTTAGTAAGCATTATTTTGTATAACAATATTTACAGGCTAACCTCACTGACACTAATGGTACGCCAGCTTCGAAACATTCCATTCGAGAATCCGGCCCCAGAGATCTACGGAGCCCCTGCAAGGACCCTCCTTGAGGGTTTGGTTGAGGGGGGATTTTGATGTGGGGTTGTTTTTCAGGGGTTGGGCTTGGCCCCTTAGTTCCAGTGAAGGGAACTCTTAAGGCGTCAGCATACTAATACACATTTTAAATAATTTCATGCTCCCAACTTTGTGGCAACAGTTTAGGGATAGCCCCTTTCTGTTCCAACATGACTGCGCACCAGTGTACAAAGCAAGGTCCGTAAAGACATGGATGAGCGAGTCTGAGGTGGAGGAGCTTGACTGGACAGCAGACACACAGGCACAACCTCAATCTGATAGAACACCTTTGGGATGAATCAGAGTGGAGACTGGGAGCCAGGCCTTCTCATCCGACATCAGTGCCTGACCTCACAAATGTACTTCTGGAAGAATGGTCACACATTCCCATAGACACACTTCTAAACCTTGTGGACAGCCTTCCTAGAAGAGTTGAAGCTGTTATAGCTGCAAAGGGTGGGCCAACTCAATATTGAACCCTACGGACTAAGACTGGGATGCCATTAAAGTTCATGTGGGTGGAAAGGCAGGCCAACCAATACTTTTGGCAATATAGTGTACGTCAAATGAACAAGAAGGTTGTTTGTACTCTGAAGGGTAAGTGCATAATACATTGTCATTAATATTCGTCACAGAGTAATTTCATAACAGCACATGGAAACCTACCATGGTTTGGGCATATATGTGTATTATGCAATGTCATGTAACACTGGTCACCTCGCACTCTTTTATCCTTTTCTAGATCACACTTTTGCCAGGTTTACCTTACAAGAGAAGTATGGTATTTTTTTCCCCCAATTATACTTCCATAGGTGGATGCAGCGTCGGTCCAATGCTGCATCTGTCCCCTGTTGCTTCTAAGTGTCTAAGTGTGAGAACTCAGCGATCACATGACCGCTGATCACTCAGTTCTCACCGCTGCTGTGAGCAAAGAGCGGTGACTGTCAGTCACTGCTCTCTGGTCTGCCCCCCCTCACTCACTGGGGTTGTGGAGGGGAGGGAGCAGCTGGCTCAGGCTCTCAGCTGCTCACTGAGAGGCTAAGCCAGGTGCCGCTCCAGACTCTAGGGCGTCTGGAGCGACTAATGGATGTCAGCTGACAACAGGCTTCAGTCAGCTGAAAATAGGACACAGGAGTGCAGAACAAACTGCACTCCTGTGATCCACAGAAGTACAGCCAAAAGAGCTTTTGCTGTATTTCTTCTTTAAATACTCTATAATTATCATATAAATGAGAAACAGAAAGTAGTGATCCAAAATGTAGAGGTTGTTTCTTATTATTAATTTGGGTGGATATCTGTGCAGTTAATTCATTATTATAAAAAAGTATTAGCATAGACACTATAGCAGAAATAGGCTGAAGGTGCAACCACTGCTACCACTACAAATAAAAAGCTGGGCATTACTGGAAACCAGATCTCTTCAAGTTTATACACATCAAGCCATGTATTTTTCTGATGGATCCTGTGTAGATGGCAAGCAAAATAATCACTAGTTCTCTATAATAAATCAAGAAACAACGTAAAGCTACAAAGATACCCAAGAGAATTTGAAACACTCACTTGATTTTATCCAAATACAAAATGATACAGTACTGAAGAGAAACTATTATGCTGTTGAATCACACGATTCAGACAAACGATAACTAAATCTAAGTGAAATGTTCATACAGGAATAGGGCGATATATGAGTTAAAATATAGTTTTCTACCCTTCTGTGACTTTTTATTGTATTGTGATTTACAATAAACCAATAAAAAATGCAGAGCAGCAATAAACATAAATACAGTGCTAAAATATTAACCACTAGCCTACAGGACACTTATACCCCCTTCCTGCCCAGGCCAATTTCCAGCTTTCAGTGCTGTCACACTTTGAATGACAATTGCGCGGTCATGCAACACTGTACCCATATGAAATTTGTATCATTTTTTTTTAGATAGATAGAGCTTTTTTTTTGTGGTATTTAATCACCTCTGGGATTTTTTTTTCTTAAACAAACCAAAAACCACTGATAATTGTGAAAAAAAATTTTTTTTTCTTAGTTTTTGTTATACAATTTTGTAAATAAGTGATTTTTCTCCTTCACTGATGTGCGCTAATGAGGCTACAGTGATGGGCACTGATAGGCTGCACTGATGGACACTGATAGGTGGCACTGATGGGCACTGATGAGGAGGCACTGGTAGGTTGCACTGATGGGCATTGACAGGCATCACTGATGGGCACTGAAAGGCAGCACTGATACATGACACTGATATATGGCACTGATATATGGCACTGATAGGCAGCACTGACTGGCACTGATAGGCGGCACTGACTGGCACTGATAGGCTGCACTGATGCACACTGATAGGCGACACTGACTGGCACTGATAGGTGGCACTGATTGGCAGTACTGATAGGTGGCACTGATTTGCATTGATAGGTGGCACTGACTGGCACTGATGGGTGGCATTGAAATGCAGCTCAGATGGGCACTGATATGTGGCATTGATGTGCACTGGTATGCACTGATATGTGGCATTGATGTGGCACTGATGGGCACTGGCACGTGGCACTGATGAGCAATGACTGCTGGCACTGATGGACACTGACAGGTGGTACTTCTGGGGCCACACTGATCATCAGGGCACACTGATCATCAGTGCCCTGATGATCAATGTACATGTCCCCTCCGCGGAAAGCCGATTACCGGCTCTCCTCTCGAGCTGTCAGCGTGACAGCTCGTGAGGAGAGAAATGCCGATAACCGGTATTTCTGTGTTTACATGTGATCAGCTGTGATTGGACACAGCTGATCACATGACCAAGTTGACATCTTCGGATCTTTCCGTGATCCATGATCCACTGTGTCCGATGGACACAGCGCACCGGCAATCACTGTGCGCTCCCTGAGCCGCGCATGCGCTGTGAGAATGGAAGGACGTCATATGACATCCTATCAGAACGAGAGAACCACCTTGCACCCGTCATTGTACTATAGGGCGGGCGAAAGGTGGTTAAACGTGCATATATAAATAGTGAAAAACAGAAACTGTGCCAGTGACAATCAATGTGTGCTTCACCAAATGTCTTACCAATGCATACATATAGGTGTGCCCATAGAACTACACATAACCAGTGCTAAAATTGAATTGTGCACACAAATACCATATAAAATGTCCTTAATAGTGGACTGTCCCTTTAAATCTTAAATATCTACATGTGAACTTGTGTGGTATATCTCCTATAGATCGTGATCCAAATACACCAGCAGCAAGTGTCTTATAAATATGGTCTCAAAAAATGGTGAACCATCCCTTTAAATCCGCTGTACTTCAAGTGGACCAGTGTAAACACACTACTGCATAAACATATTCGGAGCTCCTGTGTCACCCCTTAGTGTGCATATGAAGAGTGATAGATCGATGGCTTTTTCTTGGAGCTGGTCAGATATGTTAGTAAGCCCTTGTGGAGCCTACACTCAGTTATGAAGATCTAATCCTGGAAAGCTGAACTCTAACATACCCCTCCCCCTCCATCAATATTTCACCTTGCTATTGGTTTTAAGCAATTTTGGAGATACGTAGTGAGCTGTAGGAAGGGAAGTGTCAGCAATTGCAGGAGCAGATGCATGAGCAGAGCGCAGTTGCAGGAGCAGGTCATAATTGCACACAAGCATATCCTTATAAAAATAAAGCACACAAGGCCCTTATCATAAAAAGATTAAATACTAAAACCTAGCATTAATTTAAAGTGATAACAAACCCTTACATAAGCTCACTGAAGTGACTAGCCTCAGGCAACAAGCAGTGAAGAATTACATCCTCCTACATAAGCTGTACGTGTTTATCTGCAACATTCTCTCCTCCACAGTCTTCTAAAGTACAAAGTTTTGATGGTATTGTGAACTTCCAGGAGGCAGGTAACAGAGATCTGACATCACACACTCCATAGCACAGAGCTGAGTGTAATCTGAGATCTGAGTGGAAGGAAATAGACACACACACACACACACACACACAGCCTCATAGGCAGGGGCGGACTGATAATTCATGGGGCCCCCGGGCAATACGGGATCATGGGGTCCCTGTGTCCTTGCCCAAACTCAAAAAAGCCTATGAAAAAGGTGCCAGGGGCATCTCATGGGGCCCCCTACTGACCACGGGCCCTCGGGCAGCGCCCGAGTTTCCAAATGGTCAGTCTGCCCCTGCCCATAGGAAACCATGCACATCTGGGGCTGTCAATCACCTGCTGTGGGCCATCACCAAGCATTACCAGGTGTCTGGTAAAACTGTCAGAAGTGATTCATGCAGATAGCTGAGGAAGGAATGAGCAGACAGGATCCTGGACCTGAGGCAGGTACACGCTATGAGGATATGCTTTGTTCCTTTTTCATTTCAGAGGTTTACAACCACTTTAATCTTTATATTATTTCTATCTTCATGTCTGTATTGAAAAACAGACATGTGCATTCAGTGAACATAGTCACACTGTTAAATGTATTTTTAATTTAATATACACTGTAATTGAATTACAGATGGATGGGTTGATTAACCACTCTTACAACCCGTTCGGTAAATTCACCTGTTCTAATAACTGAACCATCTGTTCTCCCGTGAGACAAGGCCTAGCTAAAGAAACAGTGGACCAAAGGTGAACATCAAATCCCTAGAGGTTACAGACTTGTCATGTTGATTTTTTATTTACAGTCAGAGTTAGAATTCTGTGTTGTGGTGATGGGTTATAGCGCATTGTGCCGTATAGATGACAGGAAAAACTACCATGCTCTGGTCTTTACTGGAAAGGATTTAGAAGGAATTTGTAGAGATGAAAATAAAAATGCTTCTTTTGCTGCCTGTATTTGAGGCTGATCAACCCCACCTGTGCAGCTGTCAAAATGGGACTAGCGCCTGCGTCCTTGCAGCTGCTGCTTTCCCATAGACATGAATAGTCTCCATGCACACAGCACCTGGTGGATCCAGCTAAAGACATATCCCATTTACAGACTATGGGTGCAAGCACCCATGTGAATGAGGCTTAACGCAGAACTAAGCTAAGGTGGAAACCCATGGAAGGCTGTCAAATGACAACAGGCCACCATCCCAAACAACTGTGGCCATGGAAATACCCAAATCTGCACACAACAATAGTACAATAGTAATATGCCCAGTCTGGAGGAAAGAAGGGAAAGGGAAGACATGATTGAAGCCTTTAAATACATTAAGAGGGTGAATAAGGTTCAGGAGGGCAGTATTTTCAACAGGAAACCAAGACAAAAAAACACAGGGAAATGACCTCAAACTAACTGGAGGAAAATTCAAAACTAATACTGAAAGAGTAGTTTATGCTTAGAATAGACTTCCAGCAGAGGTAGTGAGTCAGTCAACAGTAAACATGCTTGGGACCAGGGGCGGACTGACCATTTGGAAACTCAGGCACTGCCCGAGGGCCCGGGGTCAGTAGGGGGCCCCATGAGATGCTCCTAGTACATTTTTCATAGGCTTTTTTGAGTTTGGGCAAGGACACAGGGGCCCCATGATCCCCTATTGCCTGGGGGCCCCATGAGTTGTCAGTCCGCCCCTGCTTGGGACAAATATAGATCTATACGCAGATAAAAAAGATAATGAAAAAAAAACATAAAATAAGAAAAAAAAAAAACGAAAAAAGAAAAAAAATACAAAAATGTGGGGGGCAGAACCGACGGACTACTCAGTTTTTTTTCTGCTGTCACTTTTCTATGTAGAACAAAGAGATGCTGGTGACATCACTGACCTGATATGTTATTTCAGGTCAGTCATTCACTAGGTAGTGAATGAAGAGAAACGCTGACAGCACTGGAGGATACATGTTTAAAAATAAGTCTGCAAATACCATCCTGACAGGTTTTTTTTAACTCCCAGAAGCTGTTATCAGCATTTTTTTCTGCTCCTAGAAGCTAAATAGTGTTTTCCTATGCATATTATTTCAGACTAGTGGTGTTTTTCAAGCTTCAGCATTTAAGAGCAGAAAAAAAATAGTTTTTATAGTTTCTGGGAATGTTTTTCCAGCAGAAAAAAAAAAAAACGCTGAACGCCCCTAAATGCTACTAAAAAGCTTCTTTTTTTTTCTAGCTTTTTTTTCTACATGAACTGCAAAATTGCTAATAAAATACTTACTAAAACATTACTACAAGCCGGCACAAAAATATTTTGCTATTATCAGCCTTTTTCATCCAGTATTTTTTTTCTAGCATTTTTGAGCTTATAAAAAATACTAGTGTGCATGGAGGCTTAGACTCTATGCACACTAGCGTTTTTTTAAGCCCCTAAAAACTATTATCGGCATATTGTTTTCTGCTCCTAGAAGCTAAATAGTGTTATCCTGTGTCCATGCACACTAGTTCAGGCTATTAGCATTTTTGGAGCTTCAGCATCTAGGAGCAGAAAAAAAAATTGTTTTTGTAGATTTTTTTGGAGTGTTTTTTAAGCAGAAAAAGCTATAAAAGCACCTAAACACTGCTAAACGCTACTAAAGCGCTCCTAACAGCTTTACTATAGCTTTTTTTTTTTTTCCCTCTAACATGTACTATTAAACTTTTTCCAGTACATAAAGCACAATACAATACAGCTCCTTGCATAGGATGCTAACTTAAACTGCAGCTCATGGTGTAGAGAAGAGTATTTCTTCACTAGGCCTTTGTGATACTCTGGTTTAAAAGTGTCACTAAATAATATCATTATCCATAAATAATCCATATACATCCACTACTTAATGGTCCTGCACAGGGGCGGACTGACAACTCATGGGGCCCCCAGGCAATAGGGGATCATGGGGCCCCTGTGTCCTTGCCCAAACTCAAAAAAGCCTGTGAAAAAGGTACCAGGGGCATCTCATGGGGCCCCCTACTGACCCCGGGCCCTCGGGCAGTGCCCGAGTTTCCAAATGGTCAGTCCGCCCCTGGTCCTGCAATCTATTTTTCATGAAATTGTTTCTTTCTGTGTTTTATTACCTTCTTGTAACAGCCTTGGTGGGCTCCCAAACCTCTCATTTTCCCCCCAACTTTTGCCCATACCTCCAAATTCCTTTTTTTTTTGCTTGCTTCTGAGATAGACTATGAACTATGGGGTGTGTAGTGTGCATAGAGCAGTGTGGAAGCAAGCAAAAAAGGAATTTGGATATTTGAAGGAGGCTGAGACCAATAGAAGGTACCTTTCTGAGGTAAGAATTCATACTTGAATATATTTTTTAAACCAGAGATTAGTGTCACTTTAAGTTTCACATTTACAATTGCATACTATTTTTACTGTAATGCTAGACTTAGAATAAATCTGAACTTCCAGCAATTCAACCAAAGAAAAGAATACTAATAATAGTCATGAAAATGTATGTTAAAGAAATGACACACTTAACATTCCTATAACTTTCTTTTACGATGCGTTTTAGATGCCATTTAATAGGAAACTTATCATGAGAAAAATGCTGGGCTGCTACGACTTTCCTTTTCTGAGAGTTCTAGAATGGCTGGCTATTATGCTGATCCTGTGTTTTTAATAGTTAAAGGCATTATAAACCTTCATACATGCACTCTGTATTTTTCACCTGCATAAGCTGTGCATTGATCATGTAGTTTTATGGTGTCGTTTATTGGCCTGTATGCACAGCCTGTAGTAGAGTAAATTTTCCCATTCCTGTGTCAGAGATTTCTGTTTGTTTGAAACATGAGGCAGGTTAGACAGGTTAATGCATGACCTTTGTCTCTAGTCTGAGACCTGACACTTCCTGTGAAAAACTACTGTCCCATGTGATCTGGTCCAAGCAAACACACTGCGTTTGAGGTGTCATTAACACTGACACCTGCAGCAGATCGCAACTGCAGTGCATTTTGAACTGGCCCTAATAGAGAAAATGAAGAGTGGTGCTGAAGGAGGAATACAGGAGGAAGACCAGTGAGTCTGAGTTACTAAAGGATTTGATCATTTTCGCACATTAAATTGTGTGAATATTGACTGTAATTATCCATTCTTGTGCAGATGAAATAAGTAAACAGGAAATTTTGTTCTTACATGATTGAATAATTGAAGAGAATGTAGCACTACCCTCTTGAGGGCCGCTGGATTTGTTTTGGGTCCCCCTAAGCTCTGCATGGCCAAGCAATGTGCATTTTCTACACTTGCACACTTGTAGTCAGTAAACAATCCTTGAACTGGTTTTTAGTGGTTTTTTATTAAGGGGTTAACAACTTAGATGGGGTCTAGGGGTATATGAGATGCCCAAGGAACTGTACACTTGAGGACAAACTTCTTAGCAACCTGTACACTATACAAAAAGACATGGATCAAGAAAATAGCAAATAGAACACTGTCTCTTTTAGAGAGCTCTGTGCTCCCTTGGTGTATCTCCTCAGACCCCAGATGAATCCTCCTCTTTACCCGGCTGCACCGAGGGTATCCCTGGGCAAGGGATTCCCAGATCTAACAATGAAGTAGTCCCAGATGAGAACTAGTTGCACCTGACCACCCTCTCCCTTTATCTGGCCCAGGGGATGTAGGAGTACTCACACTGTCCTGTCCTGTCAGTGTGGTGGTTGGTAGCTGCTTTCAGGCCTTTCACTGGGGTGTCCCCTTCCTGGCTGACAGGTTGTCCTCCTTAAGAGATGGTGGAACAGTGAAGATCCTCCTGTCCAGCAACCAGCCTGTAGTTAGGCTCCCCTCCCTGAAGCCCCCTCCCAGGGTCCACACTCCAGCACCTTCCTTCAATTGATCTTCCACCCAATTTCCCTGCTGCTAAGGCTCATCCACACTTAAGGGTTGTCTTTGGTCACCATGCCCGACCTCCTGCCTGGAGCAGGGGCAGACTGACCATTTGGAAACTCGGGCACTGCCCGAGGGCCCGAGGTCATTAGGGGGCCCCATGAGATGCCCCTGGTACCTTTTTTCATAGGCTTTTTTGAGTTTGGGCAAGGACACAGGGGCCCCATGATCCCCTATTGCCCGGGGGCCCCATGAGTTGTCAGTCTGCCCCTGGCCTGGAGATTGGCCAAGTTCCCTTACACATGCAAATATGGACTTCTTCCCCTCCTCTGCCCCTCTTCCAGAAGGTTCTCTGAGTTTCTTGCAGCTGAATTCAAGATTGGAGGCAGTATCCCCTAGTGGCAAAGTAAAAGTAGAACAAATACCCAGTGCAGACAAGGTCATCTAGCACCCAGGGCAAATTTGACAAACTGCACCCCTGTTCCCAAAGTTCTCCTCCTAACACACATCACCCACTCATTACCCCTCCCAGCACAAAACCTCCCCCCTTCCCATATTCCCTCTCCCAGTACAACCCCTTCCATCCCCCCTCCTAGTATAAATCCTGCTTCCCCCAAATTCCCTTCCTACCACAAATCCTCTCATCCCCAGCACAAATGCCCTCCCCCCCATCACATAAGCAGTACAATTCTCACCTCCCTCCCTGAAATTTACAAACCTCTGATGCTACAGTGACGGAAACTCACTACAAAAGTAATGAGAGCAGCACAGAGGAGGAAAGAGCCAGAAGACTCCTGGGACTGTGTAAGGTGTGCTTATCCACCCCCTACCCTCTGCTGCCAGAACAGGAGCAGTCTAAAAAGGGGGATAAGGGGTGAGCAGGGCTTTTTTTTCAGCGGGGATGCAGGGGAAAGTAGTTCTGGCACCTCCAGAATGTATGAATAGCAAGAGGTCCTGGGGTGTGCTGGAGGGTCTATTGATGTTGGCTGTTGGGGGGTTATTGTTGCTTGGGGCATCTATTGTTGCTAGTCTTGGGTTTATTGCTGCTGGGGGGGGTCTCTTGTTGCAGGGGGGTTATTGTTGTTGGGAAGTCTATTGTTTCTGGTCAAGGATCTATTGCTGCTGGGGGGGAACTCTTGCTGCTAGCTGCAAGGGATCTATTCTACTGCTTATCTTTTCATCATTAACAAATTCCATACAAATTACTTAGCACCACAAAATTATACTTTGTTCTGTATGCTCTAAAAAGGATGGTACTGAGCGGTGGGTAGGGGATGGAAGCAAGGTATGGTTCTCAGAGGTAATCAAACCCTGCACAGTCCTGATCTGACAGCATTCCTGTATTAACACCTATATCGAGGAACACTGTTCTGACAAGTTCAATTGGGCTTTTAAAAAAAAAAAATAAAAGAAGGACTGTATCACACTATTATAACTGAATGTACAATGGATGTTCTCAATGGATGGTTTAAACTTTGACTACCTTGGCACCACTGATATATTCTGACCTTTACATTTCTCTCTGTCTTGAAGAGTTACAAAGAGGCTTTTCGAAAGACCATGAAACCCTGTGTCTATAAGATAAAATAATGTTTAGAGGTATAGGATTTCTTATTCCAATTCTACAAATGAAGGTTCCAGACAAATAAAACATCTAATGAAAAATTGGAAATGAAGGAATCCAAAAACATGTTCCTTAAAGTGTAATAAACCCACCAAAAGTGATATTAAACCCTCCGTTTTTAAGTACTTTCAGTAGCTAATTAATCTCTTACTGAGTATGCAGTTCCTCATTTTCTAATCCTTATCTGTGTTTTAGTTTAAGCTGGTGCCATGATCACTGTCCCGGGTTTCCTGTTTGAGGGTGGCTTCTTTCTCTTGCAGTGGCCTATGGAGTCACCCTGCAAGAACTAAAGTTGTGGCTCTCTACATTGTGTGCATCAATAGAAATACACAGATGCACAGTCCCCTAGGCTAGAATGGCAAGGCACTCCCCTGCTCCTCCCCAACCCGTCATTTCTCTAAGCTAACAGACTGGCTGGAAACTGCATTGTGCATTGTTATCTCTTTCCTGTGAAGACTAGAAGTTCAGGGAAGAAGCACTGACAGAGCAAGAGCCAGCAGCAAACTGTAAGTGCTAGGGTAAGAATGTTAACAAATACTTTACTGAGGACTTTGTATTTTATTGTGCTCAATGTGGTAAGCTAAAAATGCTGAAGATTTAATACTACTTTAACTTTTTCCCCAAACATATCTATTAAAGATATGCTTATGGTGATGCCTGTCACAATTTCCTATGTGCCTATGTCAGCTCTTTCAGAGCTTTCGAGCCCTTAAATGACTGCTGTTATACCGAATCACATCTGCAGCAATATGGCAACTGCACATCTAAATGAAGGCTAGGATGGTGCCATCTTTGGCTTAAAAAGTATAGGAGGGTATAGCTCAACTTTAAATTCCCTGCAAGAGAAAAGGCAATAATACATACCTCTCTAATGGCCTGTTTCTCCTGTCTTCCCTCTATGTCAGTGCTGCAGCTTCCATAAGGAGTGTTGGATGCCTGTGTCCCCTGCTGCAAGCTGTGGTTTCTTCCTGTGACCCCTACATCAATATAGGACTCAGCAACGATACAGGAGATGCCACAGTGCATAGTGAGGGATACAGTCATCTGACAATCTTAGAACTAGTGCATGCCAAAACGATGAAGGATTCAGGGCTGGAATGGAGTGAACATGGAAGACATGGGCCACCAGAGAGGTGGGTATATTAGCTCTTCTCTTGCAGGGAATTTTAGGTACAAATTTGTTTAGACACTGACAAGGCCTCTTTAATCATGTAAGGTGTAAAGTATTTTTAAATAAAGGATATTTGAGTTTTCTGTAATCTACTGTATATAGAGTTGTATTATAATTATTTGGCTCTCATCTTTCTTAGGTTTATCTCCTGTTGACTAAAATGAAGCACTGTGACTCTCTAACACAAATGCAATTTATGGCTTAAAAGTAAAATTTCAGAACCTATCCCAGTTTGGTCTAAAAAATAAGATACAAGTCTAATGGTTTAGGGCACTACACTTTACACTATATCTTCAAAACATTCTAGCAGTTGACAAAATTAATGTCTTATTTTGTCATTTCTGGCTGAGAATATATCGCATGCCCTTGGTCATAATTTTATTTCAAAAGTTAAGACATTTTTATTGATATAAAAAATGAGAGATCGATTTTATCTGCAGTAAGGGAACATTTCTTTGTGAAGGGTGTAGTTAAAGTACATGTGATGTAGTGTTTTCCACTAGATCTTCATTGTATTGTTGTGGTGGGAGAGCAGCCAAATAATGGTCAGTAATATTTTATTGCCATATGCCGGGATCTGTGTATCTGTGTCAAGTCATGCTGTTGCTTTTATGATCTCACTATCAAATATATATATATTTATATATATATATATATATATATATATGTCAGTGAAAAGGCTGCTTGTCCAAAAACCTGCCTGGCAACACTTTTTACCTATTTTCACTTTACTATAAAGACATAGATTCTATAAAACCTGAATAAAATTAAATACATGGAAAAGAGCAAGTAAAATGCTTTTAGCAAAAGGAAATAAAATTCAGAGTTTAAAATGTATATCTATGGTGATATCAAGGCATATATTGTTTATAGTAAATTAAAAAATAATCCTCTATTTTTTAACTTTTGAGCCAGTGGATTGAGTAAAGAGTGTGTAAAAAATGTTACAATAATATATATTTGCTATGGTATCCTACAGGGGTTGGGCAAAATTATGGAAACACAAGGTAAAAGAATTAAATTGTTACCTAATATGGTGTTGGACCGGCTTTGGTATCCAAATCATTCTAGTTCTTGCAGAGATGCCGGAGGCCTGAATCATGTTCTCCAAAATTGACCATAGTGGCTCTATGATATTGTGGTCTGACGATTGCAATGCCTAGGGAAGGTGCGAGACTTCATCTGCATGCTCATCAGACCATGATTTGAAAACACCAGCTATGTGAATAGGAGCATTACTGTCTTGGTAAGTGGTGCTGTCTTTAGGAAACTATTTCTGCACCATGGAGTGCACATGATGGGCCAAAATTTTCATATAGTCGCTGGCATTCATTCTACCTTTCAAGGTGATAATGAGGCCTGCAGAATACCAAGATATGGCTGACCAAACCATGATTGCACCTCCACCATGCTTTACCATTGGCTCAAGACAGTCCTAAATGTAAGTTTGGTGGCGGTGTTTGCCACACATAAGCACGTCCAGTGGTAGGGAACATTGTGAAGCTCGATTAATTCGGCCATATTATTGTCTTCCATTGAATGATAGTCCACAATTTATGGGTGTTGCGCCACGCTCTCCTCTTCTGAGCATTAATATCAGTCACTAGTGGTTTGGCAATTGCAGCTCACCCGTGAAATGCTTTTGCTAATGAAGTTCCCTCTGCACAGTTCTAGTGGACATAGGCTTTGGAAGACTGAGATTGAGCTCTGCAGTCATGTTTTATGCAGTTGTTGTTCTTATTCCTGTTCACAATCCTGCGCAATTTCCTTTGGTCAATTGACCATTATTTCAAAAGCACCCCGCGAGGAGAAAAACATGGACTTTACTGGTACCAAGGGAAGACACAATTTTCGCAAAATTCATACACTTTATTTACAACAACAATTAAAAGATATATAAATGAAATAATATACTGAAAATAAAGTTTGTGAATTTTACAAAAATTGTCTTCCCTTGGTACCAGTAAAGTTCATCTTTTTCTCCCCAGGGGGAATGTTTTTGCAATACAGTATAGATATTTGGGATGTGGTACCTCTCTTAGCAGCAACATCTTTTTACTATATTCGGTCAGTTGACCATGTCAATCGCGCTTATGCTTATCAGACGACATTTTCCGGAAACTGTATATGTCATCAAAACCTTTGATACTGTACCTTGCTACAAGGCAAATAAATCAGCAACTTCAGTCACAGAGGCACCCGCTAATTGGACACCAAGAATTTGCCCTCTTTGAAGCTCAGTAAGCTTTGACATGACCCTGAATTACTAGCAGCAAACACAGCGAATGCTGAAAGTGAGGTACATTCACAGTGAAAGCAAAAGAATGCTACATCACTTCTGCTTTCATTGTGAAACATGTGGTCACTTTCACACCTGCAAATCATGCAGTGTTTCCAGATTTTTGTCCAACCCCTGATGTAATATTGTTGTGGTGTGCTCATCTGTTGTCCGTTTCTGCACACAAATGGCTGCTGCTGATCTGTCAGACAAAGGGCCACTATGTAAGTTCTGGACTAATGGTTTAATGTTCTCCACACTACACTTTTATCAGGTGCCATAGAAAGGATATCAGAACAATCAGGTTTTTTTTTTTAATGAAAGTTGCAGAGTTAAATACTGAAAACGACTTGAAATTACAATAACATGTTAAAGCTTATATAAGATTTTAGTAACTGAATTTATGTGTTTATAGCCGTTAGAAGATGGTCCCATAGAAATCTATGAAGACCCACTGCGCAAGCACAGCCAGTGCCAAGCAAAATTTTGGATAAACATTGCGGATGGACACCACTGTCAAATTCAGGTAGGTGGAGATGGGTCACCTTTGATCACTTTTATTTGAAAGTAAAATTATGCATTAGAGCAGTGGGTCTTCAGATTTTCCAAAAAAAATCAGTTTTATACATAAACAAATCAAATGTAAATTAAGTAATTCATTTTACTTTGAGTTTTTTTTTTGAATAAGCAATACATAATTTAGAGAAACAGAGAAAGAATGTAAGAAAAAAAAGCAAATTCCAAATAATCATTAGCTCATCAGAGTCCTCATCAATGTTTCCCCTTACATCTTGATCCCCATCAGTGTACCCCCCCTACATCAGGATCCCCATCAGAGTTCATTCTTACATCATGGTTCCCATTAGAGTCCGCCTTACATGATAATCCTCAGTTTATATAGCAGAATTCTTTCTTGCATTAGGTCCACATCAAAGCCCCCTTACATCAGAATCCACATCAAAGCCCATCTTACATCAGAGCCCCTTTTATATCAAACTACCCATCAGAGTCTCCACTTTACATCAGGGTACCCATCAAAGCCCCCTTACAGCAGAGTCCTCATTAGAGTCCCCTCTTACATCAGAGGGCCAGATGTAATCTTGCAGAAAGCTGGATTTGGCCCATGGTGCATAGTTTGGGGACCCCTGCTTTAGAACACAGTTAGACATGCAGGCACAATGCCTAAGGCAAATGAGATAACATACTCCTGTACAAGCTTGCAAACTGAACTCACCCAATTTTTCAGCTCAAGTGCCTGGAGGAGGGGAGGAAACAAGAAAAAAAAAAACTTGAAATGACAGTTTTGGTGCCATTTCATCTGTTATAGGTCAGTAACAATCAGGGGTGGACTGACAACTCATGGGGCCCCCGGGCAATAGGGGATCATGGGGCTCCTGTGTCCTCACCCACACCCAAAAAAACCTATGAAAAAGCCAATGAAAGGTACCAGGGGCATCTCATGGGGCCCCCTACGGACCCCGGGCCCTCGGGCAGTGCCCGAGTGCTCAAATGGTCAGTCCGCCCCTGGTAACAATCACACAGTCATTTCTATTCTTTTAGATTGACCATATCCTCCACAGACAAATTGGTTTAGTCTGCCTGAAGATACCACACGTGAAGAGGTCACTCAGTCCATCCAGATCGGAAGCCTCCTATATCTGTCTGTGGAAGGAGTCTCTAAACGTTTATTAGAGACACATCTTATATTTGACATATGTTTGGGGGCCAAAAAAATGGTTTTGTAAATCAACAAATGATTAATGCAATTACATGCTTTATTGAGATATTTTTTTTTTTAATCAACATGATATGATTTGGAACAAAAGAACTTAAGTAAAAAAAGAAAGGTCTCCTCTTACATCAGAGTCCACCTTAAGAGCCCCCCCTTAAATCAGGACCATCATCAGAATTTTCCATTACATAAGGTCCCCATTAGAACACTAATTTCATTAGGGTCCCCGGTAAAGCCCCTCCTTACATCAAGGTCCACATCAGAGCCCCCCTTTACATATGCTTCGCTTTCAGAATCACCCCTTACATCAGGGTCCCCATCCAAGTCCCCCTTACAGCAGGGTCCTCAACAGGGTCCCCTTTACATCTGGTCCCCATCAGAGTTCCCCTTACATCAGGGTCCCCATCAGCAGACACCAACTGATCTGTATCCTCAGTCATTGTACATCAGCTGTGGGTCATATAAAATCTTGTAGAGGGCCAAATGTGGCCCACAGATCATAGCTTGAAGATTCCTGGTCTGTGAAGACCCTTAAAATTGTATTTCAGTATAATAAAGGGGTGCTATTCTGCTACTCTAAATGATACATTTATGCCAATGAGAAGAATGCTTTACCAAATTAAACATCAACTTTGTAATATATCTATGGTATATACTATATATATATACATATATATATAATAATTTATATATATATATATACCATGTTTATCATACTTTATGTATATTTATTTTTTAGACATTGGTGACCCTTTTGGCTGAGAAACAACAATGCATGTTTATGATGAAAAATGGTGTATGTAAAAAAAAAAGATGGTTAAGGTATAGATAATTGTTTTTTATTCTGCACAAAGATAGATAAAATGTGATGTGGCGTGTTAACAGCCCGAGCTGTTTGCACGCTGTTCAATAAAATCTTCTTGTCACACAGTAGCCGTGAAATGTTGACTTTGGTGAAGGTGAAAGTGTTATTCACAGTGATCCATCATATCCCACTTTGAATTGAGAGGCTGAAGTTTCTAAAAGAAATCATTTGTTTTTTTAATCTACAAAGAAAGTTTCAGGAAGGACCTAGCAGATGAAAATTTGAAGGTAGAATTATTCAGTTACAATGTTATCTTGTGAAACAAAACAGCATCCGGCGCCAAATGTGGCTTGAGTGACAAGTAAAATCAAGTCGGCATCTGGTTATGCATAATAAGTAAAC